TTTATGGTTTTCCACCAATTAATCCTGAACAAATAAATGAAGGTTATGAAGATTTTGCTAAAAGATGGAAACCTATTTTAGATGAATATCAAAAATGTGATGTTCATTTTGCACTTGAAGTTCATCCAAGTGAAATTGCTTTTGATATTGTTAGTGCTGAACGTGCATTAAATGCTATTGATAATCATTTATCTTTTGGCTTTAATTTTGATCCATCACATTTAGGATATCAAGGTGTTGATTATATTGAATTTTTACGTCGTTTTAAATCTCGAATATTTCATGTTCATATGAAAGATGTCGATTTTAATTGGAATCAACCTTGTGAAGCAGGTGTTTTTGGTGGACATACAATGTTTGGTGATCCAAGACGTTTTTTTAATTTTCGTTCACTTGGACGTGGAAAAATTGATTTTGAAAGAATTATCCGAACATTAAATCAAATCAATTATCAAGGTCCATTATCTGTTGAATGGGAAGATGGTGATATGGATAGAGAAGCAGGTGCTCAAGAATCACTTCAATTTGTACGTCGATTAGATTTTAAACGTGGTGATATGCAATTTGATGCAGCATTTAGTAAACAATAAATATAATATAATTGATTCTATTCTTAATATTTTTTCTTTTTCTGACTCTTTGATTTATACATGCATATATATATTGTAATCGAAAGAAGCAACAGCAGTAAAAATCGAAATAAAGACACATACATATACAAAAAGTCAGTCAGTATTGATTCTTTTCTATACGTAAAAAAGCAAAAGGAGTGAGGAAGGAAGAGCGATAAAGTGCAGACGTTATATTCTATATGTGTTTTGTGTAATGTACAAGAAGAGGGACGACACAACATTGATGTAGACAAACGAAAGCTGCTGCTGCTACTGACTTTGCTGTTTGGATAGACAATATGAAGAAGGCACAGTCGAATCATACAATGAGAAAAGAAAGAGTCAAATAGATAGAAAAAAAGAAAAAAAAAAAAGAGGACGATATATCGTCAACGAATCTCTGGTGACGCTTGGTCTCATCGTCCTTGAAACAGCGTATGTATTCAATGCATTCTTTCTTTACTTCATGTGTCTGTTACAAAACGAACCAAAGAAAAAGAAAATTGATAATATGTAAAAAAAAAAGTGTGTAGACGTAAAAAGGAAGAACATATGCAGATGCATACTCGACGTAAAAAGTTTATCCACGCGTTGTGCTGGTTTGTTGTACTTCTTCTCTCTCTCTTTGTCTCTTGTACGAAAGAAACAGGTAAGAATCGGCATAGACACGTCGAAAGAGAGTGAGAGAGAGAGAGAGAGAACAACAACAATGCAAAGAGAAAAAAAAATACATTGACGACAACGTCATGTAATGTAGATAAAGATTCTCGTCGTGCGAAAGTAGATGTATGTGTGAGAGAGAGACAGAAATAGTCATCTTTCGTAATAAGAAAGTAATAGCAGCATGTGAGTATACAGAGAAAGAAGGTGGATGATAGTGTATGCAACATGAGTAGCTGAATAAATAGACAACGAAAAAAAAAAAACGAAGAAGCATCATAAGATTTTATTGTGCATAGTCTATCTCTCGTCACCTTGATAAAAGAAACGAATTAACATTTTTTGTCTTGTACATGTAAGTAAATCAAACATTTATTTATTTGTTTATTTGAACAGTTGCTTAACGATGTATTATATATATTATTTTTGAATTTTGAGAAAATTCTTTATATAAAAAACAAGTTATTTAGATTTATTAATGTAAAATTTTTCTTCTTTTTATTGTACGCAATTCCATTTTATTTCTCTGTATGCCATACATCATTTCCGTAAGGATTTTCTATGTGTGTATTTGCCAGTTTCTTTTTTTGCTCATGCATCTTGCTTTTTGTCATCATTCTATTCGTGCTTATGTCGAACGTTTTTGTTCTCAGTCGGAGACAAAAAGTACAAAGAAGACTCACTGTTGAACACACACACACACACATACTCGGTGAATAAAAGGAAAAAAAAAGTCTATCCATGTCTGTGCGTTATACAACTCCTCGGTTTTTTTTTCTGTTCGCATCTTTTTCCCAACGACAAACTAGACAGAATTGGAGAAGGGAACCTTGGAAATATGCACATAGAAGCATTATACACGCAATTGTGAACATGATGGCTAGAAAAAGAAGAAGAGAAGAAGAAAAAAAAGAAAAGAAGAAAAAACCTCCTAGTTTTTTTCTAGTAGAAAGAAAGAAAGAAATATAACTATTATGTTGTTCAATCCTAACCGTGCTACCAACAAGCACGTCTTGTCGTCCTTCAAAAAAGTATCTGTCTTTTTCTTTCTTTCAGTTATGTAGCGAAAGAGAGACAGAGAGAGAGAGAGAGAGAGAGAGGGAAAGAGAAAAAAGAACTGTCCTGAACATCATCACGATGAGAATCAACAAAAGAGAAATGAACGAGCTAACAACGTACTCTTCTTCGCGTTCTCTCTCTCTCTCTCTGTCTCTCTCTCTCACCCGGTGATAGTAACACTGTGCGTGTAAAATATGTTCATACCCGACCGAAGGAAGGTTCGACGAGAATTTTTCTTCTCCCTCCCCTCTTCTCCCCTCCTTCTTTCTATGAACACCCACTATTGCTTGCTATCTCCATACGTATTTTTTTCATCATATATTTTTCCGGGAGGGTTAGAAAGAGTTGTGTGAATGCGCGTAAGCGAACGAGCAAAGAAGACCATTGACGTTGTCGCCGCTATCGTCACTGAACAAATTCCAAGAAAAGAGAGATTTTTGATAATAGGATAGACAGACAGAGAGTGAGACAAAAAAGCAGTATGTTATTCTGTGTTTTTTCTCTCCCTCTATATATATCTTATTGTATGTTAATATATGTAAAAGTACGATCAACGTACGTTGTCAGTAGAAATGAAACAAAAAGATGTTACCTGTGTAGAGATTTTTATCAGTTTACATATATATATATATTTTCTCAAGTGAAATCGTAATCATTATAAACATAATAGGATTTTTTAATAACGAGAATGAGATGTATTTCCTTTTTAAAGCTATACAGAATATTACATAAACACTTTTCTATTCTATTCTGTAAATCTTAATAATGTCCATTACTTTTTCTTTTCTTTTTATTCATTTTGATTAGAAATGACCACTGGGACGAATATAAAAGATCGATGTCGTCTTTGTTATACACGTATAAAAGATACATCATCCTTACATCATAAAATCTGGTGTTCCCAACATAATAATCGTATCTATAATATATACAAACGTCGTCCATTTCGTTATCGTGATTTAATTGTACGGTATTTATGTATAAATTTACCTGAAACTAATTTAAATGATCATTATTCTAATGTTATTTGTGGTACATGTGCAACATCATTAACTAAACTTGAAACAGCATATCGTACATTTGATCAAACACAAAAAACACTTCAGTCAAAATTTCGTAAAACATCACAGATAACTCAATATCAACTTGATAAAAAAATAAAAATATCTTCGCAACCAAAACTGTCAATTGAACAAAAAACAATTGAACCTAAACGATTATCGAAACGTAAAGGAGCACCTAAACATATTGATCAAACATTGAATAACAATAATAATAAAAAACCAATTAGTAGTGTACAATTAATTGTTAAAATTCAATCACCTAATCATGATAATAATAATAATGATGATGATGATGAAAGAGAAGATGAATCAGTGGAAACAACTCAAAATTTATTTTCATCATCATCATCATCATTACCAAGAAAACGAACAAGTCCAAGACGAAAACATGATATATTAACTGAAACAACAAATCAAAAAAAGAAATTTAAACGTTCAACGAAAGATTCAGAGTTAACGGTAACAAAAATAATTCTTCTTTTCAGTTAACACATATATGCTTGTTTTTTTTTGTCTTTAATATTTAGAGTATTACATCTGATACATTGAATTATGAATCCTATAATTGTATTAATCTACTTAAACCGAGTACATCAACTGATACGTCAATTCATACTCTTCCTTCACTTAATTTAACAACACCCGGTTCTAGTTCTTCTTCTTCATCAACAATCAATAGTCGACCATTCAACTCGGTGAAAGGCAATCACATTGAGCGTATTGCTGTTTCTCTATTATCGGTATGTTTTAGTTTAATAGAGTTTAGATTACATTAAAAAATCTTAAACTATTTGTATAATTTAAAAAAAATCCAATAGTAACCATCGATCCGATATATATATGATCAGCAAATGTATAAAATGTGACTATGTGATATGAATGTTAATAATGATATGTGTGACAGTCGACTTACCCCCCAGTTTATTAACCCGCTCTTGAGTGCAGAATTGCAATAAACTTGTTCTTGTATGTCTTTTATCAAGATTCATAAAAGAACTCAGTTACTTTGACTTATGTTCTGTTTGTTTTTCTCTCTATTTTCATAATGAAATATAGCCACTAACCTTCAATAAAACGTTTTTCTTTTTGCGTCAAAAGAATAAATAATATTAAAATATTATTTATGTATAAATCAATCGAGGTCTGCTAAACTATCTCTTTTTGAAGTTTTTATGAAACAATCGACAATTACAAGTGATGACTTTTTTCCACTCTCTTGATCTTAAGTAGTTAATTATGATTTTATCCAAAGGATCAATGATCACTTATTCAGCTATTTCAAATCGAATTCTTTTTCTTTTTTTTTTTTAGGGAACAGAAACTCTTTCTGATAATGGTATTAATAATTTGAATGTATCAAATGGTATCAATGATCATCTATCTGATCATAGTAAGTAAATTTTTCTAATTAATTTTTATTTATAAATATAAGAAAAATAAATAAAACTATTAGTATTTACGAATAGATTGAGGTAAGGAATGCATGAGTTTGAATTGAGGAGTTTGTTTGCTGTGAATGAATTGCTTGTATTGAACTAGAAATTTTTATTAACATTTCTTAAAAGATTCATCAAAAGCACGTACACGTCGTAAACCAACATCATCATTAACTACACCATTAGAAGTTACAACAACAAATAATATTTTATCAACAACATATACAAATGTTGCAACAATTTTATCACCATCATTAGATGATGCAGATGATGATGGTCTTTCAACTGGTGATATTAGTAATGATGATTCAAATTTAAGTACAAATGGTATACAACAAAATGGAGCAAATATTCCAAATGTTAATAAACATTTATCATCAACAATATCAACAACACCAACAGCAGAAGGTTTAACAATAACAGCTATTAATACAACAGGACAAAAACAAGTTTTTATGGCTAAACAATTGGGAAATTTAAAAAAATATCAATGTGGTCTTTGTGAAAAGATTGTTACGAATATTCAAATACATGTTAGACGACATACAAATGATAAACCATATCCATGGTAAATCCTTTTGTTATCAAATAATAATTAGTTACTAAATTTTTCTTTTAGTACTTATTGTGAAAAACGATTTACTAATTCAGGAGATCTTCAAATTCATGTACGAATTCATACAGTAAGTTATCGAATAAATTTTATTTTTTTTATAATTACTTTTTCGTAATATATTATGTCATCATAATTTAGTATAAAATATATCATTGAGACTATTCGAAAGGATCAGTTATTACCCTGGAAAAATATTATTTTTCAATTGTGACACAGTCAGAATCGCGTAATTAATACTGACAAGTAAACCTCTACAGTTAATAATAATCTTTTAAGACGAGATTTGTGCAAGCAAGTAGAATCAACTGAGAATAAACAAAAAATCTAAAAATAATTTTTTTTTACTTGATAGTATAAATTTCATCTGGAGAGGTTCCCTCGTCAGACAAACATCGCCCCTGGAGTTTTACAATAAAAAAAATAGCAATCTATCAGATACATATTAACACTATTGAAAGTAGAAATATAGTTACAAATAGTCACCTATATATGTCAATCAATTTCTTTATTTGAATATATAATAAAAATATTGACGCTTTAGAATGAGTTTTACAAGTCATTGAATTACTCGAATAGATGTCATCTCGAGGATATATTTTATTTTTATTATTTAGGGTGAAAAACCATATGCATGTCCATTATGTTTGAAAAGTTACCGAACGATAGGTAATTTTAATAGTCATGTTAAAACACATGATTCAGGTGTTCGACCTCATCGTTGTGAGTTATGTGATCAAATATTTCCTATACCAAAAGATTGGTATTCACATTTACGTTCAAGTCATCGATCACGAATACCAAATAATAGTCTTTCAACTACAACAACAACTACAACAACAACAACGAATTCAAGTTCGTCATTAAATTCAACAAATGCAACAACAACTGTAACACAACCATTATTTTCCAATGCATTATCAAGTCAACAACAACATAATGAAATATTTGTACCGAATAAAGTTAAATTAGAACCAATTAATCGTTCACAATTAATAATTAAATCATCGAATGTTGATGATCAAGAACCTGTGAATATGTCAAAAAAAGAGAATTCAAATGATATCGATGAAAATGAAGAAAATAATGATGAAGATAATGCTGTTGTTGATGATGATGAGGAAGAAGATGATGATGCAGAAAATCATCATCAAACAACACATAATTTATTAACGAATGTTTCATCACCTGTTCATGCTTAGAATAAGAAGAGAAAAAAAAACAAACCTAGTCATTTTTATTTCAATGAGTTCCTTTCATTTTGAACAGTATTGAAAGCAAAAAAAAAAAATTACATGAATAATCAAAATAAGAATGAATATAAATGAACAGCCAAGCGCAAGTCTTTCGTTTGTGATTGATGTTTTTCTGTCGTGACTTTTGTAGCACAATATCTTATGTATTATTTTTCTTTGTTGTTTGTTTTGTTTTATTTGTTGTTTTGGAAATGACGAAATTTGTATATTTATTTCCTTTATCTCCCTCTCCTTTTCTCTGTTTCTATTCTAGGTGAATAAAGTACGAACTGTATTTCATATTCTAATTGTTGTATGTTCTGGTCATTTGTTTTTTTTTCTTCTTCTTTATTGTGAATGATTTATATATATTCTTTTGAGGGGACAGTGGTGTTCTTTTTTTTAATATAGTCACGAATATACATCTTAGTCGATGTATAGAAGTACTATGAGAGAAAATATTTGAGTTATCTATGTTTGCATTTGTGTGTGTTTTTTTTCTTCTTTTTATTTAAATGAAATGAGAATACCGTATATATGTATATCTGTTATATTTCCTTGCTGTTTCATATATATATATATATATAAAGATGATCTATTTATGATTGTATTAATAACGCCATTAGGAGCAAAGGTAAAATGTAACCAAACCTTTTTAAATAGGTTTCTATTTGAGTATTTACTCTGTTTTATTGATTATAAAAGATTAACTTTACTTAAGAACAAATTGATTATAAATTAAATTTTTATCTTTTTTTCAACGATCTACATAGTAAGTACTTCATTCAATCAGGTATATGTTTTTATAATAGTAAAAACTATTAAGAGTAATGTGAATTATCGATTCTTAGTTTTTTAATATCACTCTGATAGTAGAAGGTTAATCGACATGTAAAACTTTGATAGAATGTTTTTTTTCAAGTTCTTATCAATGAAATTTTCGTATAGATAAAAGTCATTTTTCAATTCATTCATTTTTAAACTGATCTATAATAAACATAAAATATCATATCACATGTAACGTATAAGAAATAAGAAAGAAAAGAGAGATTCCTATAGTCATCACGTTGTTGTTTGTGGGACTAAACGTCGGTATTCATTATTATCATTATTTAATGGTTCAAATTGTTGTGTTCGTGGTATAATAATCGGTGTTGAAGATTTATGATAAGAATTAGATTTATGTATCATTATTGTTTGATCAGAATTTTGATGATCACGTTCATAGATTGGACGAAATTGTTTATATAATTTATCAATTATTTCTCCAACAATAATATCTTGACCATTACGTGCAAGAAGACGAAGAGCAAAACAACCATCTTCTTGTAAATAATCACGAACAAATGCTTTGCTACAAAGTTTGTCTTCTAATTTCTCTTGATCGGATTTAAAATATTCATCATTTGGATCATTTTTCATTGCACGATTCATAGCTAATTTTCTTTGTACGTAATCTGAACGACTATCAACACGTATAATACGTAATAACCATGAGAAAAAATCACCTATATTAAAGGCTGCTAAGATTAAAATCCAAAACCATAAGATAAGAAAAATTTTTTCATTAAATAAATTAATTGGTAATACACATTGAACTGTATAACGATGTATAATACCAATTTCACGTATATGAAAATCACATAAAGTAACACGTGGAAATCGTTTTGATTCACCCCAATCAAGTCCACGAACAAATTTATTTATGACTTCAAAACCAAATAAATGATAATCATTACCCAAGAATGTATTTAAAAGAAATATTTGTATTAATGAATTAATAAGGAATAAAAATTTAACAAATGTAAATAATACAACTATATATGAACTTAAATGACGATGACGCCAAAATGTTAGATTATAACAAAATTTTTGAAAACTGCTTCTTGGAGATTGTGCTGGTGAAGTATAACGATTTTCAATATAAACACGTATGGAATTTGAAATATAATCAACAGTTTTTTCTCGTTCTTCAATTTCTTGTTCTTGTTTTAAAGCTGCTTCAACTAATTTTTCGATATCTAAACCTGATTTATTATTTAATGATCTCCATAGCATACGCGGAAAATAAAAACATAAAGCCATAAATAAAAGAATAAATGGTGACCATTGATAATATTTTAACATACCTAATAATAGAATTAAAAAAAATTATGAAAAATTCTTTAAAATAAATTTTTACGTTCATATCGTGTTGTTTCAACATGTGGAATATCATTCTCCATCGGAACATAATATGTATTCATTATCCAACATATATCATTTGCATACTTTTCATAACCACCTGTAAATTGAGCAGGTACCTAGAGAAAAAAAAGAAATTTAATAAATAATTAGTTTAAATCGATTAAAATATTTTACCCAACATGTAATAGGTGAACCAAAATATTGTTGAGTTGTAATAATAGCTGCAAATACTAAGATGATTGTTACTGTATATTTATGATTAAGTCGATCAATAAATACATCATCATTTTTAACGGAATGATGTTTTCCAGCATTTAATTTCGTCGCAATACCCAATATATCCATCGTGTTCAATATATGATTATTTTAATCAAAAATACGAAAAAAAAGAAAAAGATATGAATGTCATCAATATTGCACTATCTGTTTTTTATTGTCGAATGTAAAATCAAAGATTACTATACCTTTTCTTATTTTGATTCTCATCATAAAGAACAAGTTAATGCCACTTGTTGCGTTTTTTTCTTCTCTTATTAGTTTTTTACTTACGATCATCTTATTTTAATGGAAATAAGAAAGAATGATATAGATAGTCAACATTATGCATACATTTTTATAATAATGATTGCATCATGTTCAATTACATTTTTGTCTTTTATCACTATGCTCAACATTATATGTTTATCTTAGAATTTACGATGTCAAACAACAACATATATGTATCATAAGTTCAGTCATCTTATTTTTTTCCTGTATCATTTTTGAATTTTCAAAAATTTTATTATTTCCAGTCACTTACCTTGATTCGATTTCGTATGTAATATAGGTTTATTGATAAAGGTTTTTTTTTATTCAAGAGGTTGCAACATTATAGATAATGAAAATGATCTTTTATGACCTGTGTATTGCAAAATGAATATGCAAAAAAGTACAACGAAAAAAATGTCCTTCGATCTTACAGGAAACATAAAATATTACCACAAACGACTGTAGTATTAGTTGAATGTATATCGAACGCACACATATACAAAGCAAATAGACAACTTTGCAAAAAAAAAGAAGAAAATGAAAGAAGCAGAGGAAAAAAAGTCGAAAAATCCTCTCTCTCTCTCGCTCCTTTTTTCCTTTGTCATCAATCGATAAATAATAAAAAAGACAACCTATTTTGTACTCGAAAGATAAAGTTGAAAGACAAAATAAATTAACAATGACAAGAATGCATACATGCTTGCAATCAAGCACATCATTCGTTTCATTGACGTTGCATGGATTAAATTTCATCAAGATTCCCTTCTCTGTCTATTTGCCAATGAAAAAAAGTATTAATCTTTATTCTTCTTTCAAAATATGCCAAGGTTATTGGTTTTTTTTCTACAACCAAAGAAAAAAAAACATAAATTAAATCCTTATATACAATATATTCATCTACTAAACACTCATAGTTATCATAAGAGACTATAATTTTTTTATAGGAGTGCATATAATTCTTCAACCCATATAATTCAAATGACATGAATATAAATATGATCGATTAAATGTCATGGTAAAATCAAAATCTATTTTTAAATCAATAAATTCTTTACTAATTATGAAACTTTTTTATATCTATTGAATAATTTTGCCAAAATCAAAGAATAATTAATTAATGTCAGATGATATTATTATTCAGTATGTGTTGTTATAAAGAAAGTATAATCTCTCTTCACCTTTTAAAGGTATTATCCTATTTTTCAACAGCTAAATAATCTGTCTGATACTGGCTGAATGATATGTGATAGTTTTACATTTTTTATGCAACTAGACACATATGAATTAAATTAACTAATTTATTGTTTTTTTTTATCAAATAGTACAACTAACAATAACGGTGTTTTTTTTTGCAATTCAAACCAATTTATAATAGCCTCTTATACTTTTTCAATTGAGTTAAAAATATAATGTATGTCCTGTCGAGATATTTTTGTTCGATTATAATTCTACTGTTTTTTTATTGTCTTATGAAGCTTTCATTGTAACAAACCCCGCTATTTCATTTGAATAAGACAGAATTCATATTAGTATTGTCCGACAACAGACAACTTTCTCGGAATATTCACAAAATATAATTTAAACAATGGTTTTCTTGAATATAAATTAAATCATGTTTTTACGTTCCAAAGATAAACATAATGAAGTTCATCAAAAATTCAGCATAGATGTGCAACCAATGAAACTAACGGAAAAAGAAAGCGTTTCATATGCTATCATTTCAATCAATTCTCCTATAATGTGCCATTTATTTGTATTGTGTTTTACATGTTCAAAAACTCAGAGAGATTTCATTTGTTGAAAAACTTGTATATAAAAATCATGGCCGAAGTCATGCTCTTATAATCGTCATGAGAATTTCGAATGTTATATTAGATTCCTTTTCTACTGGTCATTTGTATGCCAAGATATATAATTGTTCGTAGTGTCTGATTTTTCATTGCAAAAATATTGTTTTAAACTTTGTCTTGTATGTTGATTTATGAAAATAATAATTTTCTATTAGTCGTGTTGTTTCCGACAGTTACATTTTTGAGGAATATATTCCCATAGATCGTCAAGTGTTTTTAAGAAAAAAAAATATTAATTATTTGTTTCACCTTTTTTTTACTGTTGTTTTTTTGTTATCGTATATAAAATCCAATCAAATTTTAGCATAAAATATGATAATTTAAAAAAGTAAAATTTCTTTTTTTTTCTCTTGTCTTAAAATGCATTTCATTATGAACGACTGTCTCTCATTTTATTAGTAAGTTCATATATATATATTGTTTCTACCTAATGGCAAATATTTTTTTACAGCGATACACTAAGGAATTGTTAAGTAATATTTTTTTCCCATCGACGCAGTTCCTTTTTATTTAAATATATCGACGTCAGCAATTGTGTCCGAGAAGTGTTATTTTGTTGAAAAAAGAAAACTCATTTACAATCTTAAGGAAAACATTTTATTTTTTTAATGTATTCTCTTGTCACTACTTTCTCTTTGATTAAAGGACACTTGTAGATGAAAAATAACAAAAGAGAGAGAGAGAGAGAAAATGAGAAAACAAAAGAAATATAATTTAACTATATAAGCAACTACATTTCTCAGAGGAGATAGGTAGTAGACGTCAGCACAAAAAGAAATCGAGAAGTAAGTAGTTGTAAGAAAAAAAACCTTTTTTTGTTTTGTTTATTCAAATATCATTTTAGAAAGTCTTACAGATTGCGCAGTAATATGAGCACCAAAAGCGATAAAATACCTACATCATATGCCAATCCGGCATTTGATGAAGATTCAAATCGAAATAGTGTTGCACCAAGTCCAATGGGTTCAAATATTTTTATTGTTAAACCGGATGATGCAAAGAGAAATCGTTCTCATCCAGAACCTCATCGTCATGAACCAGTTACACAAAAAAGCTTTGGTCGAACTATTCTTCGTGGCATTCGTTGTATGTATTTATGTATCTATTTCATATTGATCTATGATTTTCTGATATTTAGCACTTTGGGCAACACGACAAACAGAAAAAGATCTTCGAAAGAATAAAGATTTATATGTAAAAACAACAATACGAGAACTTATTCTCTATTTAGTTTTTATTACTATCTTATGCATCAGTAAGAAAATTTGATTTTTTTTCTTTTTAAATTAAAAAAATTGCTTTTTTTTTTGAAAGCTTTTATTCATATTACTTTTTTTTATTAATTTAAGTAACATTTGGCATGACATCAACAAAAACATATTATTTTACATCGGTTTTACGTACAGTTCTAACTGAAACACCTGTTGCTGGTGCTGGTTCTCAACCAACATATGATGATATTGCAGTTTTTGATGATTTCTGGGCTGTAAGATTAATTTTATCTTATTTATTTTAAATATAAATTCGAATTTTTTAGGTTTTATCTGGACCGGTTCTCAATGGTTTATTTGATCAAACATGGTACAATGGAGAGAATTTAACATTAAGTCAATATGGTTATGTTCTGTTTGAAAATAAAATTCTTGGTTTACCACGTCTTCGGCAACTTAAAGTAAACAATTTTGTTTTTTGTTTAAATTAAAATCTTTTTTTTATTTTGTTAAGGTTACAAATCATTCATGTACGGTTCATAAAAAATTTCAAACAATCATTCCTGATTGTTATGGAGCATATAGTAGTGGTAAAGAAGATCGAAATGCTTTTCCAACAATGAATACTACAATAACACCAACGGCGTAAGATTTTTCTATTTGATTTCTATTGAATTTTTTATCTTTTGAAAAATTAATTTAGATGGCATTATCAAACTTCAAGTCAATTACAAGGTCGATCATCAAGTGGTTTAGTTTCTTCTTATGGTGGTGGAGGTTATGTACAAGATTTAACAACAAATTATATGGATGCAACAGCTGAAGTTAATGATTTAGAACAGAATTTATGGCTTGATCGTGGTACACGTGTCGTATTTTTGGATTTTACAGTTTATAATGCAAATATTAATTTATTTTGTCAAATTAAATTAACAGTTGAATTTCCAGCATCAGGTGGAGCAATCGCATCAAAAACATTTTCAACAGTTAAATTAATTCGTGTAAGTTTTTTATTTTAAAAAAAAAAAACAAAAGAAAAAGAAATGTTTTCTTCTATTTTAGTATGTATCATCAATGGATTATTTTGTTTTAGCATGTGAAATAATTTTTGTTATTTTTACACTTTATTACACAGTTGAAGAAGTTATTGAAGTAAATTGTTTTTTAATAGAGAAACAAAAAAGACAAATTCTATTTATTTAGATTAGACATTATCGATTACAATATTTCAAAGTTATGTGGAATGTTCTTGATGTAGTTATTATCTTAATTTCATACATTTGTATTATATTTAATATCTATCGTCAATATAAAGTTGGACAAATTCTTGATCAATTATTGGCCAACCAAAATAGTTATGCTGATTTTGAATTTCTTACATATTGGCAAATTCAATTCAATAATATTGTTGCATTTGCTGTTTTTCTTGCATGGATTAAAGTAAGATATTACAAAGAAATTCTTTTTGAACTTGTGCTTGCCTTTTTCGAGTGGGCGAAATGAAAGTTCTGTGTGGGCGCCGCCCAGTTAGCCCACCCGCTAAATAAACACTGCTTATTTTCAAAATAATTTTTGTTACGTTATTTAGATATTCAAATATGTATCATTCAATAAAACGATGACACAATTATCAACAACATTATCACGTTGTGCAAAAGATGTTTTCGGTTTTACCGTTATGTTCATGATTGTCTTTTTGGCATATGCACAATTGGGTTATTTATTATTTGGTTCATTAATAGAAGATTATAAAACATTTGCACTTTCGATGTAAGTCTGAAATTGTTTTTTTTTGTTGAATTAATCTTATTTTATCTTTTAGTTTTTCGTTATTTCGTATTATATTGGGTGATTTTGATTTTGATGGTAAGAAAAAAAGAAAAAGAGAATTAAATAATTAATTAATTATTCTTTGTATTTTAGCTATTTTGGATGCTCATCGTATTCTTGGTCCAATCTTCTTTTTAACATATGTATTTTTCGTATTCTTTGTTTTATTAAACATGTTTTTGGCTATTATTAATGATACATATTCGGAAGTTAAAAATGATATGACAAACCAAAAATCTGAAATTGAATTAGGTGACTATTTCAAGAAATCATATGATAAAGTACTTGATCGATTAAATATTAAACGAGATGTAAGGAACTTCATTTTTAATATTATAATATTTATTCATATTTATTTATTTTTAGCGTGTTATTGAAATTCAAAATGCATTAAAAAGTGCTGATGTAAATCAAGATGGTGTAATTGAAGTAAGTATTAGAATATTGTTTTTGTTTTTGTATAGAAATAATTTAATTTTAGTTCGATGAATGGCGTCGTGATTTAAAAGCTCGTGGTTATACTGATGTTGAAATTGAAAATGTTTTTGCACGTTATGATACTGATGGTGATCGTGTACTTCGTGATGCTGAACAACGTCGTTTTAAAGCTGATTTAGCTGCGCAAGAAAATAATTTAGATATGGATATTCAAGATTTAAATGATTCACAAGGAAATCCGTATAGAAATTTTCTTTTTCTAATTTAATTGATTATTTATAAGACAAAAATTTAATTTAGAAAAGCAAATGGTGCTTCAGCATCACCACCACCAACAACAACAATAGGAGGAGGAGGAGCATCGGGTGAAACCGACCATGCTAATCGTATAACCTATGATGAATTTGCAATATTAGTACGACGTATTGATCGTATGGAATATTCAATTGGAAATATTGTTTCACGAGTAACGATTTTGTATTTTTATAATAATTAAAAAAATTTTTTTCTTTGAAATTTAGATTGATGGTGTTTTAACAAAATTAGAAACGTTAGAAAAAGGAAAAATGAAACGTCGTGAAGCATTAACAAAAATTCTTAATAATATTTCAGATGTAAATTTAAAAATGAATTTCTATAGTAAAACTTTTCTTATTTCGTTTAGGATAATGAAATGACCAAAGAAATGAAACAAGAACGTTTAGAAAAAATGATTCGTGATGAACTCGAAGAAAATAATAATGATCGTCAAACACCAATTCAAAGTTTACTTGGATCAACAACAACTGCACCAGGTGCACCAGGAGGTGAAAGTAGAAGTCAATCTGGTAAATCAGCATCACGCCGTGTTAGTCCAACACATGATAGTGCTTCAAAATATTAAATAAAGACCTTTTTGTGTGAATATGATACCTTTTACGTTTAACGTATCCATATATATATATATATTTAACTTAATCTTCATAATAAGCAGCTTTTTTTGTCTTGTACTCATGCAATGTCTTCTTCTTCTTCTTCTGAATAAATCAATATATTATTCAATTATGTATTCTTTGAATGTTAAAAGTGAAGAACGTGTTACTATTTATCATATTGAGAGTGAAAATAATGATGTGTGAAGAGATACATTATAAAAAAATTTATTTTATGTCATTTTAATGCTTCATGATATTTCATATAATAAAAAAAATTCTATAGACTTTAATGAATATGTTTAAAACTCGTCTGGACAAGATTCAAGTTATTTATACAATCATTGAAAATATCATTTGCTGATGTTTTGAGTCCTAGAGTTTTTTTGAAAAATTATGAATTTTTTATGAGAAACTCTAAAATATGATATTTTTGTGTCAAAGATTATTAGTAGTTCATTTTTATATGGTAGTCATTGAAGCAATTAACAAATATATAAAAGTGCATTGCAAATAGAACAACTATGTCATGTGTCATGTCGAATATAACGGATTGTGCAGACGATGTATTTCCTTAGAGACTGTTATGATCGTAATGTTTATGGAATAAGTGAAGAGAAATGTCGAACAGTGAGATGATTTACCAACTGTAGTCGCTCTTTGTGGTCCATACTTTGTTAAAGCTCTTCTAATTATCTCAAGCCGAAAATCAGATATATATGTGGGGAAGAAGTATTATTATGTATTTTGTAAATAACAAATGCATTATCTGAAAGATGGGGAAAAAAAGGGATTCTGTTGGAATATATCAGAGTAAAAGAAAATGTGCGTCATCATCATCATACGGAGCGAAGAAAAACAGACAGAACATAGATATATGTTACTGGCAAGCGGAAAGAAAAGGAAGAAGGATTGCATTCGATGTAATATCACTTAATAAATGATAAAAAGATGTTCTAAAAAATTAAAGAATATACTAGAGGCATCTTTGTCAAATAACACCATCAGGACATGTCGCCGGGACTCAAAGGGTTAATATTCAATATTTCTAATAAAATATTAACGAGACATAAAATAAACAAACTTTTGAAACTAAATATTCGTTTGTTTTTTTATTCGTATAAAATAGAACGAAGACTAATTATTTATTAATGCGTTTTGATAACATAAAATGAAAATATTCAATGCAATGATTTCATTAATAGATATTAAAGAAAATATTATTGAAACATTCTGATTTATTAATCATATTCAAATATCAAGCTATATATTTTGTCAATCTGATGAAATAATATTTATTTTCGTTGTCATTTTTCAAACAATGAATTCTATTGATAAAAAAAAAAGAGAGAGAACCATTAGAATAACTTACAATCAATTAAATTCTTCCTTATCAAATATAACTATATCATCTTAAAAATGATGATTATCTTGAATTGGTTCAACATATTGATAAAATACATCTATTATATATTAACAAAGCATTGACCTTGCATCTCTTCATCTGACATATACGAACTAGTCATTTAAGTATCTATATACTCTATTACGTTGTTAAAAAAGAGAAAAAAAAGATAATATTTATCTACCTACTTGTAACGAGGCGGCCCTTTTTCTCGATTATTCATAACTCTTTGTACAGCCGTTTTGTTCCTTTTTCTTCTTCTTTTTTTCTTCTTCTTCTCCATGACTGCTGATTTGCACATCAATTCAACTGTCAAAATATGTTTTTCATCGGTATATCAATACCTTTCATTGGTATTCTATTAATTCTTATTTTTGGTCTTTCAAATACACGATATATGTTCAGCTATTATCTTTCTGGTAAACGGAAAAAACGTCATTCAATAAATATTACAACAAATAATTTACATAATTCATTTTTAACAATTCAAATGCATTCAATTTTAAATAATATAGACAATCCAAAATGTATTCCAAATGTTACTACAATAATATCTTTAGAAGATGACGAAGAATTAATGAAATGTGATATATCATCTAATTTTTGCGATAGTGATACGATTGAATTACGTTTAGAACAAGATCTTGATTCTGACAACGAGATTATTGACAATTAAGTCTTTCAAAATATTTTGTTTTTCTTTCTTTATTTGCAAATAAAAAAAAGGGTTCAGAATTACTTTATAAGAAAATTTCAAACAATCTCTCTTATTTTTTGTTTTACAACTCCTTTTTATGTTTATCTTCAAATTCAACTAATGTTTCAATTGGATTTTCTTCTTTTTGAAGTTGTTCAATTGATTCATCTTTATTTTTCGGTATTTCACGTGTTCGAAGTAATTCAGTTTCATATCGTATTAATTGTAATAGAAAACCTTCATTTGGCCATACTTGTGGACGTTTTTCAATGAGATAATAAAATGCTTCTTTTAATGTATTATGATGATATTTCATTAAATAAGCAAGTACTATTGTTGCTGATCGAGATACACCTGAAACAATGAAATTGAATATGTAAAGAAGAAAAAAAAGATTTATTTTACCAGCAGCACAATGTACTAAACATCGTTCTTGTTTTTCATAAATTCCATGTAATAATTCATTGGTTCGATCAAAATGCTAAAATATCTTATTTATATTGATTTTGAGTAATTATAAGAAAATAATTTAACCTGTTTAATATTTGTACGAGGTTCATCAGGCATTGGAATATGAATTACATTAAAATTTTCATGTATTGTTTGTCCTAATCTTAAATCACAGACATTCAAGATATGTTCTAAAGATAAAAAAATTTTAAATCTTCTAGAAAATTAAATAATCAATTTATATACTGATATCAAATTTTTGAAGTAGATCTCGATTAGTTGCATGTTGAATATTGCCCAAAAAGAGAAAATTATCTAAGACAAGTGATGGTTCAGCACCACGACCAAATTTATAGAATTTATCGTATAATAAACCACGTTCATACTCAAGAACTTTCATTCGTTCACGTTCATCATCAGTCATATTCGATAAAGTATTTTCTTCATTTACTGATTTTCGTGAAAAATATGGTAGCATTTTTTTAATTATTAATAAAATAATTAATAGTATAATCTAAAATTATTGTTTTTTTTAATTCGTCAAAAGATAAAAATTCAATGATTCAGAGAATTATCAGTATTTTTGTTGAAGAGTAGAATGTTATCTTTTAAAGGTAAAAATAACAGATTCTATGGCGATGTTACTACCTAGGGCAAAGTAGACTTTTACTTTGGAATTAAAATGAGCTTATCACATGAATAAAAAATGCGTAATTATGTTTTTTTCTCCCTCAAAAACCAGCTGAAAATCTATTAAACTCAATCATATGTTCTCAGTTGGTTGTACCCACCTCAAAAAATATATGCATGTCTTTGTGAAAAATAACGTATGCATTATCTCATTTTCTTATAATAAATTCGTACTTATTTATATTTATATATACAAATGACTCATATTCAAATGCGAAGTAGTTTTAAATAAATACTAAGTAAAAAAATATAATTTTCTATATAAATTATTATAAACTAATAAGTAATTATATGAATTTTGTTTAGCGAAGAGTGGTGAAGAACTAAATGAAAAATTTAACTGCATAGTTATTGTATCAATAAAGCTTTTTTGGTCGTCCTGAGGGAGCTGTAGCTGAAGGTGAGGGTGTGGGTGTGAATGTAATATAAATATGATACCTATACCCACACCCTAGAAGTACAGAAACTTTGATTTGACATTTTAGAATTACTTTGTCTTTATAATAAATTACTTAATAATGAAATTTTTTACCGATCAAATGTAGTTTATTACTATGATTTTAATTTATTAACTTACTGAGAAAATAAATTACTCGAATATTAATATTCACCCTTAGCAATTAGTTTTTTTTCATCGAGGATCTTTCGATTTACTTAGCAAATAAATTGTTCTCTGTACAAAATTGTATCGTAGGCAGCGGCACGATTTTACTCTAGGATAGACTCAATTTTGTAAACGAATTACTTCGGATAGCGAATTAGATGAACATTTTTTAACAGTTAAAAAGATAGTTCAAGAAGAAATAAAACTATTCGAGCTCAAAGAAAGTCTTTGTACTTTAATTTTTTCTTATGTACATGTGACGATTTCAGGCTCAGTATAGAGCAATATAAGATTTGATACATAAATGTATACTTTATTCTTCAAAAGAAATTGCCTGCCTTACTGAATATTCCTCATCCCTTATACAGTACTCGTAATATTCAGAGCTATTATTATTTTTTTTTGTTTTTAACTTTGAAAAAGATATGATTTGATTTTGTTTATCCGGCATTGTATGAAAAAAGAACAATGCTATTTAAGTATTTAAAATTCGATAAACACTTCAGTAGACGCAAGTTGATAGTAGAGAAGATGTGCACTAATCTTGCAACAATGAAACATCTGTCAGAGCATGAAAATTAGATAATAGAAGACATTTTTTTTCATTCAATCGAGCCTATCCAGGTTAACTATGTCAATTTAGATCTGTAATTACAACACATAGATAAATATTTTTATCTAAACACTTATTTTGGATTGTATATATAAGAAGAGTTAAATAATGTCATAATCTCAGTCACTACTTATATGCAGGTACTAGCAGCTGAAAGAAAAGAACACAGGACACTTTTTCCTTTGATAATATGTGACAAAATTGTTCAATAATCGTCTACGTCAATAGAATTCTCTCACATTTTAGAAAGTAAATACATGATTTGATTGATTCAACAGGAGAATATAAAAAAATATTTATTACAATAACAAACTGTACTTATACATGTTCCTACAATTTCGATTTGTATATTACAAGAGAAAAAGATATCCGAAACTTTTATCTATCGGCTACTAAAAATCACAGGTACCTAGCTACTATCTTTATTGATTTATTGAGATTACACACATTGACATTAATTTTAAATACATAATCTATACTATTTTTCATACACCTGTCATTATAAAATAGATAAGTGATTCTTCTTTTACTATGATAATTCGCTTCATCTGTCTTCATTTAGAAAAATACTGATAATTCTTTGATTAAATTACAATTAATATAACTTACCCAATAGACACGCGAACGGACAAAGTTAAGAAGTTGATCCAATATCATTGCACAGGATACGAACTGATCATCGAAGATAAGTCAAATGTATGATATGATTCATTAATGCCGAGATTTTGATTGGTCGAAAATTTTTGACCTATAAGAAATTCTTCTTGAACCTTTCAAAATAAAACTTTTTAATTTTTTTGAAAACAAATATTTTTTAGATGAAAAAAAATATCATTTGAAAATCTTCATTATTTATATTTTCTTCTAATAGTTCTTATTTTTACAAATAAAAAACATTAAAGGTCTACAAAACGGAACAATGGTATCTACTTGACAGAATTTATTAACAGCAAATCAATCAATCTCTATTTAGATAGAACTTTTTTTTCTTTCCTATCAAATGTTTATCCAAAGTGAACTTATTCATAAATAAAAACGAATCTAATTATGTACGGAAAAAATAAAACTCTCAATGCTCCATCTGATATTCATGCTAAAGAGAAGTTCGTATATCAATTTTTTATATTAAGAAAAATAAACGATGATTTGTTTATTATCTGTATAGATTAAATCTTTATGTATACGAATATTTATATCATATTGGTGCATCAAAAGCTGCTCAGGGATTTTGTGCGGATGTAAGATGAGAATTATTTTCTTCAATATCAATGTAATTGTTAACCTTTTTTTTCTCGTAAAGATGAAATGGGAACCAAATAAAATGTCACTTGGTGAACCACCTGGATTTTTACTTAGTTGGTGGTGGTAAGAAAGCATTTCAATAGAATTTTTCCATTAAAAATATTTTCCTTTTTTTGTCTAGTGTTTTTTGGGATTTATATAGTGCAGCCCCTGAACGTCGAGAACAACATCCACATTCAGAAGAAGCTAAAGCTTTTCATGATTATGTATGAAATAAAGATAATCATTTATTTTTTATTTAAAATATGATCTGTTTTTCTTTACAGGGATTTATTAATGCAAATGGCATGCCTCCTCAAGTAATTTAAGAATTTTCTTATTAAAATTTTGTATGTTATTTTATTATATAGCCAAATCCAAATCCAAATGGTCCACCACCAATGCCTATGAATGTAAATGAAGGAATGCATAATCCAAATGTCCCATTTTTTCCTGTAAGATACTTCTAATTTACAAATGAATCAATTTTATTTTATTCTTTTTTTATAGCCACAAGGACCACAAATGATGAATCAGGTAAAATGATTAATTTGTATATTTATTGAAATATTAAGATTTATTTTTTAGTATCCTCGTTATGGAAATCCTCCACTACGTTCACTTGTTCGTATGCCATCTCAACCAGATTATCCAGTAAGATACCAATAATCATAAGAATTCAGAAATTTTACGTTAAAATATTTTAGGTTGGACCAGTAATGCCACCACAAATGGATGGTGGTCGAAATGGTATGTATATTTTTAGTTCTTTTTTGTAGAATATACAAATAAAGACATTTTATTTAGGTTTAAGAATGCCATCTCCAGGTGCTCGAATGCCAACTAATCCAATTGGTCATCCTGGTCCTGGTGGACCATTATCAAATACATATCGACCACAAGGTATGTCACCATCAATTAATCAATCTGGACCAAGAATGTATATGACAAATTCACCAGGGGTAAAGAATAATGAATGATTGTTATTTTTCTTCTATTGATTCTGTGTATCTGTCTATATAGGTTGGTTATTCTTCGTCATCACCTGCTCCTTATGGAGTATGTATTTTTTTTTTCTATAATCTTATAAAATGAATCTATAATGAATATTTTAGACTCCTTGTCCTCCAACTCATGCTCCGACTACACCAACAATGATGCCAAGTCCCCAAGGTTTGTCTTTCGAAAACATAGATACAGTAAATCTTTTATATAGGAAATTTTTTCAATATGAATATCTTCTTATTCGAACAGTGGACTAGTTCTGTCACTGATAAATTGAGACAAAAGTATGATATTATGTTATACTAACCAATCATAGCAAAATCTAAAATCTGGTAGTGAAAGACTGAATCAGAATTGATCCATTTTGGATTCAGAAAGTGATATTTCGAAGTAAAAGTCAATTATAATTTAATTATTCGACATTTTTTTATCATATCTATGCAAATTATATGCTAATGATCGATTTAAATGAGTGAAGAAAAGAGTCTTATTTCTTAAAACGCTTTTTAAACTAGAATCTTGTAAAGTCTAATCAACTGGGAGAATCAAAGAGGTATCCTATCATTGAACTGCTTGTTATGTTAGTGAAAGAAGCTTCGTTGATTGTGATAGATCGTATTGATTATGAATATTTAGAAGAAGAAAAAACGATAAGAAAAGTAATAACACTCTCTAGAACAGCTTGTTGTTGCTCTGTTAATAGTTTATATAAATACGTATTAATTCATCATGTATAATAAAGAGAGGGTTGAATTGATAAGTCATTTCTTATGTTTTAATAGTATTATTCGCACCAGATCAACAATACTAAGTTTCTGTTCAAACATAACAAATCTAAAGGGATTAGATTCATCTTCTGTTAGACTGTGCCATCAAGTTTTCAGACAAACTTTATTTTATAATTATTTTGAAAACAATACATCATCACGAGTTAATTATCCAAATATTTTTTTATTTAGATTCAAATAGTGGAGAAATGCAATCGTATGGTATGCGTAATATGCCTACTGGAATGGGTCCAGGACCGAATCCAATGGTAGAATTATTCTACAAAAAAAGTATTTTATATCTAATATTTTATATTTCTAGTATCATGATCCACATCTAGCTCATATTCCACCTGAAATGATACATCATGGTTCAATAAATGGTAAATTATTTTATTTATAGTCTAAGATAATCTTCTTCTTAATAAAATTTTTTAGGAGATTATGATCAACAAATGAAACAATCACCGAATCAACAACAACAACAACAAAATCAACAACAACAGCAACAACAACAACCACCACCACCACCGCCACCGGATGCAGCAAATTTTAATTATGCTGAAGATCCAAGTAATGATACAAATGCTATATTAAAATTAAAAGAATCAATGCAAGAAGAAGTTAAAAAATTTGATAAAACACCTAATAATTCAAATAATGATGATTATAGTCATTTTGGTTCGATTGGTTAAAATGAATATCCGCACACACATATACATTTTCTGATAAGAAAAATCTCATTTTATTTCCCTAGTTTATGTTCGTTCTTTCCTTTCTCTCTTTCTTCTTTTTTTTAGTGTGTATGTCTTTGTTCGTCTTCTTTTTTTACTCTGTAGAATATTTCTTCATGTGTGTGCGGGCGAAAACAGTGATAATGAAAAAAAAAAGAAGAATTTCGTCGTTTTTTTCTCTCTCATTTCCAAAAAATAAAAAAAATGATTTCTGTGCGACGAGTCTTCCAAAGAAATTAACAACATTTTGGTAGAAAAATAAATAAAAAAGTGCATCTTTATATATGTATGTGTATGTTCTTTGTATGATGTACATTATTTCTTCTTTATTTCTGTGTGTGTGTGTATAAGCGAATCTTGTCTTTTTTTTTCTTCTATATATCTTTAAATATACATATTTCAAGAAATGATCATCTGTGTATTATTAAGATAGATTCATATTTATCTAACAAGAAAAAACTTTTCTAATTCATATGGATTAAATGAGATCGCATTCTCATTATGTCTGATGTTTATTTCTTCTTACTTATTTTCTGTATAATTCAATAACAATAAGAAATATTTCGAAAATGTTCATATTTTCTTTCCTAAAACAAATAATCAAACATTATACTAACATTCATTTTCAAATATATTATGACATTATCTTATTTAAGATATTTCTGCAAAGTTCTATAAACAATTCATTCTTTATACATCTAACTTTTGAATAGATTATGGAAAGAATTATCACACAGTCATTTTGTTAGTTAATATAAATTTATTTTTAAACATGCTACGAAATATGTCATATAACATATATATCTTTTTTCCAGTCAATCAAGTGACAAGAACAAATTTATTAATATATTATTTTGTTATTTATTTTGATGTACTTTTATCAAAGGTTCTATTTAGTAAAATGATATGATATGGATCATTGAATTTGCGTTTTTCGTTCTTTCTTTTTGCATTATATTATAAAAGAGTCTATGAATTTGTTAGTACTATAAGACTTAATATGATTCATTTTATTAAAATAAAGGATTAAAGGATTGCATCGCATTAAAACACATACAAAAATAAAACTCAATTCTATTTTTTCTTCTTTTTTTAGATTATGAATGAAAAATTAGATAAACAATATTTCGATGTTAGTTTTGATTTTCATGATAATAAATATGAACCAATAAAAAATATCGGTATTTGAATCTTTTTATTTATTTATTTAAATTTTAATCATATTTTTTATAAGGTAATGGTGCATATGGTGTTGTATGTCTTGCACGTCATCGTAAAACGGGTACAAATGTAGCAATTAAAAAAATCGTTAATGTATTTGAACATTTTCTTATTGGTATGCGAACATATCGTGAAATAAAAATTTTACGTCATCTTATTAATCATGAAAATATAATAACAATTCGTGATGTTTTTCTTGATTTAAATCATACAAAAGATGTTTATATTGTATTTGATTATATGGATACTGATTTAAAACGTGTACTTGAATCAAATCAAATATTAACTAATGATCATATAAAATATTTTGCTTATCAAATTTTAAACGGTCTTGCTTTTATTCATCAAGCTGGAATTGTAAGATTAAAGAGGGACAAAAAAATATATTTTCATTTCAATTTTTTTTTCGATTAGATTCATCGAGACCTTAAACCATCGAATATTCTTGTTAGTCAATCATGTAATTTAAAAATAGCTGATTTTGGT